ATACAGCGAGCATTCAGAGGAGAATAGCCATCCCGCATGCCAAGGAGTTTGAAGGAAGATTCAGAGACATAATCTTTCCAAGAAATTACCAGTCATCTGAGGGGGGAAAAAAAAAGGACATTGAGGTCCAGGCTCAAAGCATAAACTCTGGAAGGAAAAACACAGCTAACAAAAATACTATCTTTATGATTTTGCATTAGTGGTTTTTCAACTAGCATTTTTAAAACTCCATGATATAGGAGGCATAATTTAACTTACAAACAAAAAAAAGAGACAACCAGAAGATTTCACTGGTTTCTCTTCCCCCCCTCTGATGTTCACAGGTACGTCAGAACCTGCTGTCACCTCAAGGACATCAGTCATACACAAGCCCACAACCACCGTTACCCCTCAGCATGTGCCTACCGCTCCTCCCTGGGTTTTGGGGAACCACCTGCCTCGGGGAGGCAGGACTGGAAGCCCAAATGCTTCCCATGATTTCAGCCTCTAGGAGACTGAAATGAGTTCTTGTATGCAAGAAGTTAAGGTCAAATACAAGTGCTCTCACAGGGATATGTATATACTCAAGTACTCCACCAGATAAAGGAAATACATTTATTCCTTTCACAGCTTAAAGATGGCTAGTAAACATCAGATGCATACCCAGGAGTCGGCTTTCCGGGTCTGCCATGCAGTTAAGAGAATTTCTACAAGCAACGCTAAAGAGAAGCGAAACTTATATCTGGGAAGTTTTAAAGAGCTAAATATGGAAAAGTGAGGGAAAAAAGCAGACTGAGGCAGAATCACTTCTAGAAAGTTACTGAGGTTGGTAAGCCCACAAGAGGAGGAGTTCAGCAAGGTAAAAAAAAGCCACCCCAAGGGTGAAATCTACAGTATTAGCCAGACTAGTGGTCAGAAATAAAATTCAGGGAAGAGTCAAAGGTGATGCTGTGCAGGCCAAACCAAGAACTTCCGCTGCTACAAACAAGGAGGTAAGACAGCTGCATGAGATAGATTCCCTCTTCCTTAAAGAAAAGCAGCCTTAAAATTGACAGTACTTTGGTGTTTCTAAACACTGAAACAGTGTTACAGTGTACTGAAATGTCTCTTTCTCCATCAATCTTTGTCATAAATGCAACTATTCATTTCAAAAAAAACTGACTGCTGACTTCGGAAATAAGGCAAACCCCGATTGCCAGCTAAGCATACAGTTACTTTTTTTTTTTTTCCTCAGGCTAGTCTCAACAATTTTAACTATCCAAACATACCTCAGCTTGACTTTTTGCTCATTTTTTTTTTCCCTTTGGAGTGGTTATTACTCTTCTGTTATACATAATATATTGAATAGAAGAGTAGGGAAGTTAGGCTTAACTCCCCAAACAATACGCATTCCTATCTGTGCTGGGGAGGAACTGCGAGAGTATTAATTGCACTTTCCCAGCAAACTCCACACATTCAAACTGAGAGCTGACACGCAGAGCTACCACGTTCTCCATACTCACTCCTAAGAGAAGAGGTAGAGGAAAGAGCCAGGGAACAGGCAAGGGGGACTCTCTGATGGCAAATTTTGCACTGGGTCAGCTGTTACTCGGTAGTGCTTTCAGCATAACTTGTCTGGAGTTGCTTCCTCCTCGAGAAGCCTCCACTTCAGAACTCATACAATTCTGAATTAAGCTTCCTGCTCCCAGCTAAATTCACCAACGTTGCCCCTTTCAGCTGTTAAGATTCGATATACAGCTTGTAGGTAGAAGAGGGGAAGAGTCCATCTGTAGCTGAAATATGACTTGCGTGCATTTTACGCAAATACAGAAAAAAGTTACAAATAACTGAATTTTAAACATCATTTGTCAACCCGAGCCTACATTCTTTTTGCAACATAAGACACATTTTATTACCATTGCTGTCTAAGCCTGGTATGTACGAAAGCTCCTTCCCAAACCATAGAAATCATCTAACCAAAATGGTCAGTGGTCAGCTCACATTACCACGAGGTACTCAAGCCAGTCTCAATTAAAACACACAAGCACCTCAGTGCAGCTTTTGTCTGAAGTATTATTCAAACTTGTCTTTTCAAAAAGACTTATCACAAACAGCCTGTTAGCTACAGTGTTACAACAACATTCTTCCATGGAAATAGCTGCATTTTTGTTTCATTGCTAAACAGCAAGATACTGTCTTAAAAAAAAAAAAAAAAAAAAAAAAAAAAAAGAGACAAACACAGGAATCCAAAGCTGGTGGTTATTTTTTACTTGAAGACTTTCTGAAACATTAAAAAAAAAAGGTATTGTTACAGTTAATTAATTTCTTCTGGAATGAAACTGGACATGCTCAGTCAAGGTGATGACATGGAAAGGGCAGTCTGGCTTTTACAAAACTGATATTCAAGCATCATCAATACACACAAAGGACAGGCTCTTACGCACATTTGTTACATTGCAACCTTCGCTCAGCCTCAGTAAACATCTTTGGAATACAGATTTTTTTTTTTTTTTAAATTATCAAGAAACTTAAATATTCACAGGACAAAACCATAGCATTTTTAAAAATATGAATGATAAGATTTACAGAGATCAGCAAACACAGGCTGCCTATGGATAATCAAAACGGAACTCGCAGAAGATACGCTAATCACAAGCACAGGTCTGCACCACAGAGGCTGGATTCCAGCAACTGGGAACACTTATGACTAAGAGGCAGTTTTGAATTTGGTTACTTGCCTAAGGCAGGGAGACAGTAAAAAAAGGTAGGTGTGCAGAAGGCAAAGGCAAGGTAAATTAGCACTAGAAGTTCTTGTTAAACCAGGAGTCTAGAAGGACAGCAAGAAGGGAAAAAAAAGGTGGTGGTTATTTAAAATTTAAAAAGTTAGCCAAAAGTTATCAGTATATACTTTCTATATTGCACAGTTTTAAAGTAACTGAAAAATCAGAAAACCCTGCACTTAACAGCTACATTTAAATATATTCCAAGTGGAGTTAGCCCACACAGTTCAGCTTTTAAAACAACTGAACACTTCTTAACAGCATACAGCATTTTTGTGACCCTTCTCTTATCAAGCCCTCTCCAAACTAACAAAATACACCATTTACCAAAGACAGTGCTACTAGTTCTCCTTACTATATCAGGGATTTATTGCTTTATTTTACTAGTGACAAAGACTAAGATCTAAACTTTTAGATAATTTAAGGCAATCCCACAAGACCAACACCTTAAGGGCATTTACGGCACACAGTGGTCTTTCAAACACCAGGAAAAATTTAATATTTAAAAATGACAGGAGCACTCATTTTAACCAAAAGGACCCTTTCAAGCATCAGTTATCTTCCTAACACAGCACTGAAGTTGTAAGACATTCCAGAGCACCAATGTTCAGAAGAAGAAAAAGTCAAAGGAGGAAATGCCAGGAAATCCTACGTAACAACTCATTCTCACTCATCTAAGATCTTGTTGGAAGATTCACTCAGCAGAATCACTTTTTTCACAACATGGAGGATGAATTATGATCCATCAGATATATTTAAAACGCAACTTACAAAGAAGCATTCAAGACTGTTAAAAAACATCGCGTACTCTTAACAGCTTTACAAGCTGATTCACTTGCAAGAGCTCTGAATAGTTTTTCCCAATATTTTTTTCATATCCCAGAGTTCATTACGAGCTGCTTGTCTAATGTTCTGTCTTCTTAATAATCACTAGAAGAGCCTGGTTTTAGAGAGCCAGGCTGCAGCGAAAATATCAAAAACATTTCTATGTTTGCAGTCTTAATTACTCACAACCAAGTTTACTATTGACATAGATTTATCAACTGCCAGTTCTGCAAACCCACTCAGATGAACAGTTTAAAAAACAAACAAAGACAGACACAAACAAAAATAAACCACAAAAAAAAAAAAAAAAAAACCAAAACAAAACAAAAAGCCCAGCAAGAACAGGCTTGTTAAAAAACCTAAATGTGCTCAGCATTAGGCTAACCCTTCCCTTGTAAATACTCTGGAAATTAACTGAAAGAATATGGAAAATTCTTTACAAGCGATGCAAGGTAACACTGGTCCAATGCGCATGTGCATTCTTTTTATTTCTATACAGAGTGAAAACAAATATACAGAAAACAGCAGACTACAGGTTTTTTAAAAGAAAGAATTAGGGTAATTGTTTCAAGATGGTTTCATGAAAATAAGGATGACTTTCTGTAAAAGAAATTTAAAAAGCAGTTATTTCAACTTCAGACCAGGTTCAGCTTGAATGGATTTGCAATAAAGTTTAATTAAGCAGAAATCACTGATGATGTATTAAAAATAAGCAGAGTCCTACTGCCATCCAGCAGGATGAATGGATAGGATCTGCACTCAGCAGAGAATCCTGTGTGTAAACTATTCCCACCTGAATCAGAGTCACTGAGACAAACAAGACTTCGTGGCGCTACTTGTAAATTGTTTCTAGAGAAGAATTACTTCGACAAGAAGCTCATGTAAGTTTTCTACAGCCTTTTCTAAAAGAAATCGGTGCAAATAGCAGGTTTCTGGTCAGCCAGATAATCCACACTACACAGAGCACTTGTGGTGGCTTCCACCTGGGAGGATGGCAAAGACAAGCTCTCTAGCTTCTATTCAGAGGGCAACTTCTGTTCCTCTAAATGAAGACAGCGACTTTCATCTCTTTGGAAGAAGAAAGATTGGGGTGTTTGTAGCACTCATTGTCATAGCAAAAAGCAGGTTTTGTCACATAAAATGCCTGGAACATGTTCCATAACTGAAGGAACTTTTCCCCTCAGCATTTCTTCAGAGCACAACTAGATAAGATTTATACCAAGAAATCTTTTTGAATGCTTTAACAGCAAACAGGTTAGTGCATTTTCCTTGCTAATGTTTCCTAACGCAACAAGTACACTGGTTTACATTCTGTTAAAAAAAAAAAAATCCCTATAGAACAAGTCATTCAAGAAGCCACATAAATTATTTCTTGGCACTTCTCCGCACACAGGCAGCAGAAGTTTCAGCCATTTGCAACAGCATGTTTTAGTTTTGAATACCTGATGCCAAAGATGCCCTTTTTTTTTTTTTTTTTTTTTTTTCTGAATTTGTGAAATGCATCCGTATTACCATGACAGGAGTCGTTCTTCGCTTCAAGCTGAAGGATTTGACATTTATCTCCTTTTGAACTGGTGACTCAAACACTTAATCCTGCATGCAAATAAAGCTAAGATTTATCCGTTGTAGCAGCAGTGTTCACTGGGCGTTGCCTGACAGCATTCGGTGATGAGCTTCTGTTGGATGCCTCATTACCCTCCATTTCATCATCTGAGATATCTTCCTCATCTGCTTCTTGCTCCTCATCCAGCTTTTTCAGCAGCTGAGCTGACTCTGGAGCTAGCTTTCCTTAAGGAGAAAAGAAAACATGCATACACAAAAAAATACCATTACCCCATGAAATATACTTTTTTTTAACATCATTGGCTATTACAGAACTTCAGAGAACTTAATTCAGGTAGCACTTGCCAGGATTAGCCACTTAAACTGCCATCTTAGATAGAATTGTTGCTAGCATGAAGTTACCCACAGGTCAAGTATTAACAGATTACAGACTACCCAGACAACGTAATATAAAACTTCCCCCAGCTTTTAAAAAAGAAAAAAAGTCAGGTTCCTACAAACCATAAACCAGCATGCAGATCATCTTCCATGACTTTTTTAAGATTACCTTAAAAATTCCAGAGACTAACCCCAAACTGTATCACTTACTAGCCACAGAAATACAAATTCTCTTTAAATCCCTACTTTGCCCCTAAAATTTATGCAAACCCCCAGTTTAGCAACACTGAGAGCTCCACTCAAACTTCTATGTCCCTGCATATATGGAATTTCCTATCTTGCAGGTATGAAAATGCTATAAAAACATTTTCTATCTCCTAAAATTTTTTTTTTTTTAAATAGTTTAGCTTTAGCTAAATACAAAGCCACTATGAAGCCTAAGGGCAAACAGCTGCAGGTAAAACAAAGCATCAACCACAAGCGTAAACTTCTTCACTAAATCTCATGTCCTGCAGACGCAAATTACATATGGATATTAATTAAGATTTACCAAAGAGCTTCACTGAATGAGAAGTATATAGCGGGCTTACTTGAGTGAGGGTACTGTGGTGGTCTGTGCCTTTTAGATGGACAGATGCAGTCTGCTAAGAACACCATCATCTGAAACCACAGAAAGACAAGCTTATCCTCCAAATACCCTGCACATTAGAATCATTTAGGATGGAAAAGACTTTTAAGATCATCAAGTCCAACAGTTAACCTAGTACTGCCAAGCCCACCACTAAACCATGTCCCCAACCGCTGCATCTACACGTCTTTTAAATATCTCCAGGGGTGGTGACTCCACCACTGCCCTGGGCAGCCTGTTCCAGTGCTTGACAACCCTTTCACTGAAGAATTTTCTCCTAAAAATCCAATCTAAACCCCTCCCCTCGTGCAACTCGAGGCTGTTTCCTCTTGTCCCATCGCTTGTTACTTGAGAGAAGAGACCATCCCCTCCCTCACTACAGCCTCCCTTCAGGTAGCTGTAGAGAGCGATGAGGTCTCCCCCCTCAGCCTCCTTTTCTCCAGGCTAAACACCCCCAGTTCCCTCAGCTGCTCCTCCCAGGACGTGTGCTCCAGAGCCTTCACCAGCTTCACTGCCCTTCTCTGGACTCGCTCCAGCACCCCAATGTGTTTCCTGTAGTGAGGGGCCTCAAAACTGAACTCAGTATTCAAGATGTGGCCCCAGCAGTGCCAACTACAGGGGGACAATCACTGTCCTAGTCCTGCTGGCCACACTATTTCTGATACAAGCCAGGATATTGTTGGCCTCCTCGGCCACCTGGGCACACTGCTGGCTCATATTCAGCTGGCTGTCCACCAGCACCCCCACGTCCTTTTCCACCAGGCAACTTCCCAGCCCCTCTTCCCCAGGCCTGTAGTGTTGTGTGGGGTTGTTGTGACCCAAGTGCAGAACCCAGCACGGAGCCTTGTTAAACCTCATACTGTTGGCCTTGGCCCATGGATCCGGCCTGTCCAGATCCCTCTCTGAAGCCTTCCTGCCCTCACGCAGATCAACACTCCCACCTGACTTGGTGTCATCTGCAAATTTACTGAGGGTGCATTCGATCCCCTCATCCAGATCATTGATAAAAGATATTAAACAGAACCAGTCCCAGTACTGAGCCCCAGGGAACACTGCTTGTGACCAGACACCAACTGGATTTAACTCCATTCACCACCACCCTCTGGGCCCAGCCAGCCAAGCAGACTTTTACTGAGCAAGACAACATCCACAGCCCTTCCCTCATCCCCTAAGCAGGTCACCTTCTCATAGAAGGAGATGAGGTTAGTGAAGCAGGACCTGCCTTTCATGAACCCATGGCTCACTGGGCCTTATCACCTGGTTGTCCTCTACGTGCTGCGTGATGGCACTCAAGATGATCTGCTCCATAACCTTCCCCAGCACCAAGCTCAGGCTGACAGGCCTGTAGTTCCCCAGATCCTCCTTCCAACCCTTCTTGTAGGTAGGTGTCACATCTGCTAACCTCCAGACAAATGGGACCTCCCTGATTAGCCAAGATTGCTGACAAATGATTGAAAGCAGCTGGGTGAGCACTTCCACCAGTTCCCTCAGTACCCTGGGGTGGATCCCATCCAGCCCCATAGGCCTGTGTGTGTCTAAGTGGTGTAGCAGGTCACTAACCATTTCTCCTTGGATTATGGGGGCTTCATTTTGCTCCCTGTCCCTGTCTTTCAGCTCAGGGAGCTGGGTACCCCAACAACAACTGGTTTTACTAGTAAAGACTGCGGCACAGAGGGCATTAGTATAATACACAGCATCCACAAGCCAATCTGTTTCAAGTGCTTCACTTACAAGTCCCAGTATCAGTCCCGAAAACAAAGTTGCCAATGCAAAGACAGCATATGAACCCCAGACTGGTATCCCAACGTTTTCTGTTAAATAACCATGGCAGTGCTGGAATAAAAGACAAGAGAATCATTTCAAGACAGCTGAATATCATGCCTGTTAAGATAAAATAAAGTAGAGGTCTAAGCACATACCCTGATCCACATTGACAACTGAAACAAAGCTGACATACTGCTCATCCTGAAACAAAGCAGAAAAAAGTAACTGAAAAATGTCTTTAAGCCAGTCACATCTTTGGATTTGCCTGACTGATCATTATTTAGTCCCATGCTGAACAACTTTCTGCTCATTACTGTTTTCCCTTCTAATGACTTTGATTTTTATCTTCTGTCGTCTTTTATTTCAATAAACACTTGTTTCCTAGGAAGCTACCTTCGGTACCAACATCAGCTTGTATCATGTTGCACATATGGACAGCTACAAATTCACAAGTTTCCTTGACTCGAATCTGCTGACATATGAATTTCAGTTAGTTTTGTTTATGTTCTAAATTATATTTGAACCAACAATCTGTGATAAGCCAGCTGGAACTCTATTCAAGATATTAAGAATTAAGCATCTAGAGATTTTATGAAAACAAAAAATTAGTCTATTAAAAAAAAAAATACAGGTTATATAAGAACTGACAGATCTTCAGACACTTAAGTTCAGCTGTATTGCTGTATTTTCCATACAAGTGAAGAAGACCAGGCTATCTACCATGTATAACCTGCTGATTTTGATACTTCCCTGTTACTGAGACTTCAGCATTAAGTATTCACAGTAAAGGAGAGGAGAATTTGAAACATTAAGCCCACCTAAGTTGCTAATGAGTGAGCCATAAAGAAAGCCTGCATACTGTTTCAGTATGCACAAAAAAAAGGAGCTGGTCCTGTACACTTTAACAGAAAACATATTAATCCTAAAATTAGTACCCTGTTTCACACATTCCTTGGTGTGGGCCAATACTTTGTAGGAGACCAACTACACAGTTTGAAGATTCAAATAGCACTGTGAGTAGACAAAGTAACAATGCCGAACTTTTTAGAAAAGCCACAGAAAACATAAAATTTCAGTCTAGCATAACACTCTATAAACTGAACACTGCTACAGCACAGTTAACACAGAGGTGCTCTAACAGAAGGAAGACCATGAACAACTGGGTTCATTTGGCTCAATCAGTGGTGTCCCCAACACACTTTATCACTCAGCTACTCAACTACTCTGAAACCACCACACAGCACATGCAGCAACAACTAAAAGTGCTTTAAAGACAACAAAGCTAGAAAGAATTCCAAAGAGCATGTTTCCTTAACAAAGCAACCTTCACCCTTCCACTCTGCTTTTAACTTTCCTACAGATAATGTCTCCTTAAATGGCCAGTCCCTATCTTACAACTATGTTGCCACATTATTTTCCAGTTTTCGTTGCTAATTTCCTAGTTTGCCTGGGCAAAACATCTTTCTGCCTTATAAACAAAACCAAAAACTTCAAGTGTCAGTAAGTTACCTACAAGAGTTTAGTAAAACAAATACAGCCACCTGTAACTATTTGAAACCTCGCTCAGGACATCTCTGCTATGCTCATGCACACAATCCTGCACAGCTGATGAAGGGGCCACGACCACCCACCCATCACGTTCACATACCAGCACAGAGATGCTGTGTGAGCTGTTAACCAGCAGGCAGCACAACTAAGGGCCTGTCCCAGCAGGTCCTTAAAGTGTGGATGTTTGACAACAAATTATTATTAAAATTATACTGAAACTTACAGGAAAGAGGAAGGACCAAACCATGATGAAACTGGTTCAATAGCTTTCCATTCCTGGTCACTGATGAAATTTATGAAATCAGTTTTAGTTCTTGCACCCTGGTATCTCCTGAACTCTCCATCTTTACAGCTGTAAGACAAACAAAAAAAGTCCTTTAGTTTAGACAGTCCAAGCATGCAGCATTTATTTTCACTCAATATCTTCCCTCCCATCACCCTGTCTTTTTTTCTTTTTTTTTTTTTTTTTTTTTTTCAGTTTTACTTTGCTTTAGGTGATATGGGCTCTAAAATGTTGACTCCATGTGTATCTTGGCTAGCTTTAGGCTGCGATTCCACAAAAAGATAATGATCTTCCTAATGCACTTGCCACGCAACTGCATTAAGATCAACCTACAGAGGAAAGATTGCAAAATAGAAGCACTCATGGAAAGACAGAATAAATAAGGCCTGAAGGGAAAGAAAAAAAAAAAAAAAAAAAAAATCAACTGACAGTTGAGGTCACAGCAGGTAAGACATTGATTGTCTCTGTGTAAAGCAACTCACATTCTTAGAAAGTATGGTAAATACCATTCATCTGCTCCCCCCAAAAAAGGGAAAAAAGTCCTCTCTTCTCCAAAAAAAATCCTGCTGCATTGCCTACTTACTGATAGATGGTAGGAAGAGCTGTTATGACAAATCGTCCACTTAATCCTGTAAGAGAATAGTTGTTTTCAGAATCGTAGAGTACTCATGTAAGAAAAGGCAAGAAAAGTTATTACACATCAAATTAAAAACAGTGCTCCCCCAGGTATCACTCTTTAATTGCGATCAAATACAAGCTCATACACATCAAACTATAGCACAGTCTAGAAGAAAGGTCCCTGGGCAAAGAGCAGAAAAGTTTCTCCATGGGGAAAAAAAGAAATGTCTGGGGATAACTGTTCTACTTGACTATTTTGGCTGTAGCTCTTCAGAGAGAGATGCTCTCCTTTTCCCCCATGACCTGCAACCTCCAGCAGAAAACAACCCAAGTGAGCCAAGTTCCAAAATTCTTATGTGACTTTGGAGAACAGTATCACTATGGAGAAGGTAATTTTTACAAATCCCAGACAGACATGAGGGCAATTCAGAGAAGTGAGCTTCAGCTGAGGGAGACCAGGCTGCTTGCACTCCCTTTTGCCAACAGAGGTACTACTACAGGGGAGGCTGGAACTACACCTTTGCTCTGTGTGACGCTTTAAAAGTAGGGCAAAAAAAACTCTTTGAAATCACTCACTAGGGAAATCCTCTTGTTCCCTTTAAGACTTGGGCATTTACTCTACATAAAGCAATCTGCCTTTGGTAGAGATCGGGAAAAGTTCTATATTATTTCCTATTAATTCTGCTTATTTCTTAAAAGCATCTACACTTGCACCGAACGTTTTTCATTTTTTTCCCGAGCGTTTTTCATTTTTTTCCCGAGCGTTTTTCATTTTTTTCCCGAGCGTTTTTCATTTTTTTCCCGAGCGTTTTTCATTTTTTTCCCGAGCGTTTTTCATTTTTTTTCCCGAGCGTTCAGAAGCCCAAAACCACGGGGGGGACGCGGCGGAAGAGCTCGCCACACCCTCACCCGGCTGCTCCGTGACATCCACTTTGGCGATCTTCACTTCCAGGTCCTCACCCCACTCGGCAAACTTCTCCCACTCGGGCTGCAGGTTCTGGCAGGCGGGACACCAAGGGGCATAGCTGCGGGCAGCACAAATCTGTCACTAAACGGCACCGCCCGCTCCCACACACACACCCCCCCCCCCCACCTCCCTCCTCCTGCCCGCCGGGCCCCGCAACAGCCCGAGCGACCCCCTCCCGACTCACAACTCCACCATCCACTCGCCCTGCAGCAGCTCCCGCCACATGCCGTCCGACAGCACCTTCACCGGGCTCTGTTTTCCCAGCGCGGCCGCGCCGGCCGCCAGCGCCAGGCATAACAGGACGCCCACCCGCCCGGCGGCCGCCATCTTGTCCCGCCGCGCCTCCCCGCGACGGCGAGCGTGCTCCGCCCCGCCCACCGTGGCGCATGCGCCCCTCGCCCCCACGGGCGGGCGGGTTCTGCGGCCGCTGGTTTGGGCGGGGCAGGGGAGAGCTGGGGGCGGGCTCAGGACGGGCGGCAGCCTATAGAGCGTCGAGTTTGTGGGGGATGGTTGGCACCGGGCTCGGCCAATGGGGGGCGCTGGTTTCTCCGTCTCCCACGGCGCCGCTTTCCCCCCGCCACACCGCCATGTTCCTCACAGGAGGCGCAGGGAGGTCTCGGTGGCCAAAAGGGCGGGTTTGGCGGCTCTTTTCTGTGGGAAACCCCACTCCCAGCGTTACCCCGTGGACGTGAGGGAGAGCCTCAGTTTCCACAGGCAGCCCAGTGCCTCAGCTGGACAGGAAGAAGTCCTTCACGGACTGCTTGCCCTCCGTGAGTAGCGCTTGCTTCTTCCATCACCTCCTTTCACACCCTGACGACAAACAGCTGCCCAGAAACAAAACCAGTGGCTGTGTTATTCCTCTGCACCCCATTTTCTGCCTGAGGAATGGGAGAGTGCTGTGGGCACTCCAGGCAGATTGTGGCCCATGATGGGGTGAGGAAATGGCTGTACGGGGTCGCAGGGAGAACAGATTCCCCTCACTCCAACCCTTGCTTCCTTCTCCCGCATCTTTAGTTACTTGTGGTGGAAGGTAGGTTTGTTCTCAATCAATGTCAGGAAAAGGTTATTGGTAACAAGCAGACATTCCTCATCATTTCACTGCAGTCTATCAACACCTTAATCTTTGCAAGGGAAGGAACCTCATTTTTTCCATATGTACGTGCTTTCCTTACCAAAAAATTTTTCTCGCTCTTGGTCAGGATTAGCTGTGATAATGTCACCTTTTTGTTTTCTGCCTGGATCATTTCTTTCCCTTCATCCTTAAAAGGGGCCTTTGCCATAATTTCATATCCCACAATTTAGGGCCTTGGCAGGTGAAGTGAGCTGGTCTGCAGCAGCCATTAGAGCAATGCAAGAAAAAAAAGAAATCAATGTTTGGGGTTGGGTTGGTTTTTGTTTTTTTTTTACAATTTTGGCAACTTTTCTATAGTACAATGTGTATGTTCTTTCTGTAGAAGAACACTACAGCATTACTAATGACTTGATGAAGCTTGTTATTCATAGATTCAGAGTTCAGTAATAAATCACTCTCCCAGCTCACTGCAATTCCGTTTTAGTCATAATTGAATTTTTGAAATTTGTTATTGATAATCCAAGAATCTTCTGCAGCAGTAATGAGATGAGGTGCGAAGAGCTGTCTTCGGTTCCTCAGGGTAGCAGGACACATCCTGATAATTTAAGATGCGCTGAAGAATATGTGCGTAAACAAATGCATTGCATTGCCATGTGGAGCGGAGGTTGGGTGACTACGAAGCTGTGTGGCTTTGATCTACATCCTGGGGAAAGTGACCAGAAGCATGATCCCACCTTTTATTCATGCTGAATAAGAGGATAATTAAATGTGCCTTTCTTCAGTGCGTCCAAATGGATGCCTGCATGGAGGATGAATTTGATTTAACCCACGTGCAAGTTAACAAAAGATTAAAAATGTGACAGTGTACAGGCAGCAACAGAAGCGATTGCAACCCAGCCCTTAGACAACACCACAGGAGAGATCTTCTGGGACTGAGTCCCACCTGGAAGGGCACACGTGGAACTGTGAGACAGGAAAAATTATCTTGACATTTAATGTTACCATGGTCAAGGAGAAAGGAGCTGGTGAGCATTCACTGTAAATAAAGAGTAGCTTCAAAGGCACACCAAGCTCCCTGTGGAAACAGCTTGAAAACCCCTGAAAAGCATGACTTCATACCTCCTTCGCTTGGTTCCAGAAATTATTTAAGGGTAAGGACTGTTGTGAATTACTTTTTATCTCTGTTATTATTACATTGACATTGTCTTGTTTCTTTGTAAAATTTTGAGTCATTTGAGAACAAGAAAGCCTTGAGCATATCTTTTAGGCATTCTTCCTCCAGCCTATTCACCTCAGCCCCCCCAAGCTGTATGAAGAAATGTCTGCCTCATCTTTCAAGGTTCACAGTAGAATAAAGAGATTTAATAACCAAAAAACCACGAGATGGCTTCAAGTGACCTTAAGAAATTAGCACAGCAACAAATGCTACTCCTTTTCCCTCCCTCTCTGCCTGCTCTGTTAATGTGACATGAGGCTTGAAAAAAGATGTTGCTTTATGATTTACTTTATGACTTGCTTTCAGAAATACGCAGAGGGTGGAGGGACAGTACAGGTTTAATCCATTAGTCACCACAGCCCAATCTCTTTCTTACCCTCATGCTTACTGAGAGGTATGATACTCCTCCAGGGTACTTTTTGGGTGCTCCAGGGTACTCCAGGTACTTTTATGTTCACAAGGCTGCAGAGCCCTGTGACTCTGATCTTGACCAACTTGAGATGTCTCCAAGACCATCCTGGGGCTGCCCTTCTCTGCTTAGTCCTGAATCTAAAGAGGGCTTCAGGCATGACTCTTTCCTTGCACAGGCAGCAAGAGTTAAATTGTGGGCCAACACATATTAAATAATTTTTACTACAGGTCCTTAATGTTCTGTCTTATTGCAGAGTTTGTCCACACCTCCTCGTGTACAGAAGTGAGAGAAATGCATGGTCCTGCCTGCCAAAGGTGCTCTGCTATTCCGTGGTGGTGTTTGCAGGAAGGAAGAGGTTTCTCTGCTGGGATCTGTGCTGAGAGCACTGAATCCTGCCTTTACAACCAGCTCTGGCCTCCAATTGCACCACCACGCAAAATGAAAAGTGGGGTCACTGGTGAAAACCCTCCTGAGCCCCACGGGCTGCTGTCGGACTGCCCGTGGACTTCCTTTCGGCAAACTCCAGTGACTGATCAAACAGAACCATAGAATCGCAGAATGGCTTGGGCAGCTCAATGTGCAGTGTCCAGATGGAGATTGGTGACAAGTGGTGTCCCTCAGGGCTCCGTACTGGGACCAGTATTGATTAATATCTTTATCAGTGACACAGACAGTGGGATCGAGTGCACCCTCAGCAAGTTCGCCGATGACACCAAGCTGTGCAGTGCGGCTGGCACTCCCGAGGGACAGGGTGTCTTCCAGAGGGGCCTGGACAAGCTTGAGAAGTGCGCCCATGTGAACCTCATGGAGCTCAGCAAGGCCAAGGGCAAGGTCCTGCCCGTGGGTCGGGGCAATCCCCAGCACAAAGCCAGGCTGGATGAGGAGTGGCTGGAGAGCAGCCCCAAGGAGAGGGACTGGGGGAGTTGGTGTGGGGAAAACTGCCCGTGAGCCAGCCCCGTGCGCTCGCAGCCCAGAACCCACCCGTGCCCTGGGCTGCAGCCAGAGCAGGGGGGGCAGCAGGGCCAGGGAGGGGATTCTCCCCCTCTGCTCCGCTCTGGGGAGACCCCCCTGCAGTGCTGGGGCCAGCTCGGGGGCCCCCAACAGCAGAAGGACACGGAGCTGCTCGAGCGGGGCCAGAGGAGGCCACGGAGATGCTGGGGGGGCTGGAGCAGCTCCCTGGGAGGCCGGGCTGAGAGAGTTGGGGGGGTTCAGCCTGGAGAAGAGAAGGCTCCGGGGAGCCCTTCGAGCGGCCTCCCAGGGCTTAAAGGGGGGACAGGAGAGGTGGGGAGGGACTCTGGGTCAGGGGGTGGGGGTAGGACGAGGGGTGACAGTTTTAAACTGACAGAGGGCAGATTTAGATGAGATGTAAGGGAGAAATTCTCCCCTGTGCGGGGGGTGAGGCGCTGGCCCAGGGTGCCCAGAGCAGCTGTGGCTGCCCCTCCCTGGAAGGGTTCAAGGCCAGGTTGGACGGGGCTGGGAGCCCCCTGGGCTGGGGGAAGGGGGGGCCCTGCCCGGGGCAGGGGGGTGGGACTGGGTGATCTTTAAGGTCCCTTCCAACCCAGACCATTCCATGCTTCTATGAATTTTTCACTGCTTGGGTTTTTTTTTCGTGTCCTTTTTCAGCACTGCCACACAGCGGCAGAATTGAGGCTGCTTCTAAATAGGGAAGACACTGAAGGTTCAGAAGAAATTCCTCTTCAGTTAGAAACTGCCTGGCTCTCCTGCTAGGGACATCCTGTCATCTTTCAAGGAGTTTACATGGAGGGATTTTTCTTTGTTCAATAATAATACTCTTACTCATGGTTTTAGGTTGTATTTCTAAGGAGCTGAGGTAAAGGGGATTTTGTGGTCAGTTTACAGTCTTTCCCCCCAACACACTACCACAATATGGGTCACCATTTTGACCAAGGTTGGGGTTAAGTTTCATGAAAAGAGTTGTCCAGTTAGAGAGAGTGAGTACTACTGATGCACAGAAAGAGGCTGAAGCACAAGCCCAGATTATTGTTTGACAGAAGAAAAAGGAATTACGAGTATCTTAACCACAGGGAAAGCTTCGGTCAGCAAGAACATTTGTCAGACAAGGGGACGTTCAGGCCAATACATCCTCCTGCCCACAAGGCTGTTTGGTTTTGTTACAGGAGGAAAGATGATAAACCAAAAAATGCCTGTGTAATCAAGAAATCAGCCTTTAGTTGATGACATCAGTGCCTCAGAAAATCAGATCCCACAGGTAGGAGTGGGAGTAGAAAGACTCTGCTTCCTCTTGGTTTTCTTTTGAGCTGCAAATGCAAAAAAAAAAAAAAAAACCAAAATGCTTGAATGTCTCAACGTTTTCCCCAAAGTTAAAGCCACAGAGATGAACAATTTTTCCAAATTCAACCAGTTCTCTAAGTAGTCAAAAACATTTTTTAAAAATTCCACACAATTTCACCCACTCTTTTCCTTTTTTTTTGCAGAATGTTAATTCTACTGTATCTGGAATGTGAACAAATTCAACCTGTTCAACCTGCTCTATTTCTGCGTATTTTCTTTTTTTTTTTAAGTACCCTTACATGTCCTTACGATGAGCTGAACACTAAACCAGACAAATGAGGAGTAGGAAGGAGCACAGAGGCTGCCCACCCGGGCTGACCTTATGAAGGACCACTTGAAGACAGCAGAGTGCTGG